AAAAGATAAAATCAGAGAAAATTAAGTTACTGCAAGATTTTCAGGCCAAAAGTCATCAGCTCCAAACTGAAAACACAGACTTAATTCAGAAACTGGGTGGAGTGCCTGCACAAATTGCATGATTTAACAATTGTCCCTTTCTGTCTGTGTCAGCATGAACTTTGTAAATGCACACTTAGAAGAAAACATAAGCATGAGATACAAATAAACTGTATGGAAATTAGGAAAGAATGAAAGCTATTTATACGGTTCTAAGAAATATAAATTTAACTCCATATAATCATCCTTGGTTCCTTGAACACAGTATTAGTTGAATACTATTTTTTAATCAATGTTTGAACTGGATTGGAAAATTGGAAGGAGGCTTTGTGCTTCATTTTTATGCGCGAATACCTTATTGCAATATTACAAAATAATTAACCATATGTTCAAGGGAGTTTTGCAAAATAAAAATAGACCATGTATTTTGAGGTTCTAGCCCCATTCTAAGGTTAGGGACCATACTAGGTCAGGTTTTGCCATCTAAAGTCTCTGAATTTAGGGAGAAATCCAATGTGATATTTTTTTCTCCAATCTCAGCATAAGAAACTACCTTTTTTCAATGTTAGGAAAGTAAGTAAGAATAAGTCATCCCAGCCCTTCATCACATCCTACAGCTAATAAAAATTTAACAACCAGGGTCAGTCTAATATAGAAATGTTAAATGGGAGAAAGAACAGGAGGGGGGAGAGGGACACAAGTCTGGTTCTGCTTTCAGAATGACAAAAGAGTTATTTTGATCTCCACAAACAGAGCAATCCAGATGGGATCTTTGTTTAGCAATCTTAAAGTTCCCTAGTAAACTGTAATCAATTTGGGAATGCCTTATATCAATGCATTTTAAAAAAAAAGGCAGAAGATTAATTTTAAGAACTTTTATTGATTAAAAGCCTAATGACTGGGATAAATTGAAAACCTTCCTTTATTTAATTTGCAGAGGGTTTTTTGGCCAGTTGGTAGACTACATGATTTAATAAGATTTGGGTTTTTTTAAACCTAGTGTACATATTACAATTTTATAAGCACATAAACTTACCAAAGTCCTCCTATTTACCAGATTAAGACTTCCAACGCTTCTCGTTGTATTTTTTTCCCCTCCTCCTTCTATGGAACTTCCCAGCCACATTTGTAGGAAAATATGGGAACCCAACAAATTATCTTGAATGCTTTCTTGTTAAGATTCTTTGAAAGAAGCCCATTACTTGACCATTGCACTTTCACCCTGTTTTATGTTTGCTGAATTTCTCCTGACAGTTGACTTTTTCGCTTGCCAGAACCACAACAAAGGAAAGCCTTGAATTTTCATTCAGGCCGTTTCCCCCCACCACTCTATTTCATTCTCTGCTCTGATCATCTCACAAAGATATTATTGTTGCTGGCTGGTTGGGGCTCAGTGCACCTGAAGTAGATCAAAGCCACTGTTTCATGCCAACTTGACCACACAGGTCTCTCTCCTACTGCATTAAATTAAACCTGATGATTCATCTCTATTGCCCTCAGGGTCCTTGGATAAAAAGGAGAAACGTATAGAAAGATTTTTTTTTAACAAAAACATGGAGGATAATAAACTTACATTTTTATAGCCCTAATTAAAAAAAGGTGCAGTTAATTTCAACCAACTGCAGCTGCATATATATCTCATTAAAAAGACATATACAATTGCTCTATGTTGTTGGCCCAGTATAAATAGATACAGATAAAAGAGTCCTTCAACCAAAAACCTTTCAAATACTCACTCCAGGTTTGTCATTGTTCAACGAGTAGAAAATTGCATTGCTTGTTACAATAAAGGTGGAAAAAAAGTTATATTTTAAGGCTGGAACATATTTACAGTGCAATCCTAAAAGCGTATTCAGTTGTTTTCTGTTCAGGTTGTTGTGTACAACATTATGACCTCAGATATGAATTACCGTATTTGTAACACTACAAGACGCAAAAAAGTGGGCGGAAATATCTGTGTATCTTATAGAGAATGTTGCCAAAGCCCTACCCACCCATCGGCCACCCACCCTTCAGCCTCTGCCTCCCAGCAATTTGCCTCCTTGCAGCAAACAGTTTGGTCAGCTTCAGCACAGCCTGATTTAGCACAAGCAGCTGATTGGTAGTTGGATAGGCCTCCCAGAATACCACTGATTACCTAGCTGTTCCAGGCTACGGGGATCACTGCCACCCATTGCCGCCACTACTGCCGATCACTGCCCCCATCTATCGCCACTTCTGCAGGCCCCATTTTCAGCATGACTGACAAACACCCTTTTATTCGATTTACTTCTGTACGTTATTTACATTTCCAATTACCTACTTTGTATTGATAGCCAACCATATATAACATACATTAATTATACATAACTGAAAATTGCTCTTTAGACTTTGTTCTTTGAAATTGTCTGATTGGACTCTGGAGACCAAAGAACCAATTAATTTAGCCAGATATATTTTAGAATCTATACTAATAACTGGGACCTTTGTGCTTTATTAAGCCGCTTTAATTTCTAGTCCAAGCTACTGCTGTATTCTGTTACACAAGGAGCCAGCTTGTGTTCTCCAAAACCTTGGGACATCATTGTGTTGTCTATCCCATCGCATTTTTCCCCTTTCTTATGTAGAAAACAAAGGAACTTTGGGACAATCTTAACCCACCAGTCCACATACTGTGTCCTTCAGCAAAATGAAGATCATTAATGCTGGAAGCCTTGAAAATCCCAGTCTGTTTACATCTGAGCTTGTTTAGTCCATTCTTGCTTTATGTCATGAAAGTTTAACAAGGTAAGCAATTATTGTGGACAGATTCATTTGGGGTCAATGTGTAAATTTGCTAATCATGATGTAGACTTACTGAAATAGGTCTTATTCTATTTTTAATAACATTTAAAACAAAAAGACAAATTAAGTACGTAAAAAATAACAATAGTTATCAATAACTTTATGTTTTAATTGCTAAATTTTTAATTGTTAGTTTTTATGACTGTTTCTTCTTTATGTGACACCAGGAGACATAAATTTGTGAGACGGGTAGCTATATAAATATGATGTATAAACAAATTAATTAGTTAAATAAATAGCCGCACTGACTACCAGATTGACTATTCTAACAATGCAATTAATTCTGACCCACCTGGAACAACAAGTCAGCAACCTTAACAATAGCAATTGTTAAACAATGGTAATTATCCATTATACGGTGACATATAACATGTGCCGATGAAAACTTAGTTCTTTTTTTTCTCTATGAAAAAACTTTCTTAAAGAGAAATTCATTATGATGATTATGTGCTACCAAGGAAATTTTTGATGCTGGCTCTTAGCAGTCACATAGATACATTATTGGAGCAACACTCAGTACTTAAATGCTGAAAACACTTTGCCCTTTGTTTCTTGTCAGTATACAGGTAGTCCTTGACTTATGACCACAACTGAGCCCAATATGTATGTTCATAAGTGAGAAATTTGTTAAGTGAGTTTTGCCCCATTTTATGACTTTCCTTACCACAGTTGTTAAGCAAATCACTGTGGTTGTTAAATTAGTAACACCATTGTCATGTGAACCTGGCTTCCCCATTGACTTTTCTTGCCAGAAGGTTGCAAAAGGGGATCACATGACCCCAGGGCATTGCAATGGTCATAAATATGAGTCAGTTACCAAGCATTTGAACTTTGATCACATGATCATGGGGATGCTGCAAAAGTCATAACTGTGAAAAACAGCCATAAGTCACTTTTTTTCAGTGTCGCTGTAACTTAGAACGGACACTAAATGACCACCTGTACTTAGAAGACTCAAGACTCAAGTCCAAAACTTCAACACTACCAACTGTCCTGTTTACTTCCTCATGAGTTTGAGATAAGAGCATAAGAAAGGAAAGATGAACAAGGGATAAGACAAGAAAATGATTCCAGATGGATTTATTTGGCCTGAGTTTATTCCAAACTGACTTCAAAAGAATTTCCCACCACCAAAAAATTATGTAGGGCACATGTAAACTCAAATACTTCTTTTGCTAGGATCTATAATTCATGCAATACCTCATATATCTAAACAGCTGGGTCAAAATTATTTTCTTTATAATTGAATGCTAAGGTACTAGACTATTGTTGCAAGTAATACAATATTGTAGCTTTTTTCCTGCATGCAAGCACACACATGTATGTGTGACTATGAATACCAGTTTACAAAACTCTAACTTATACCACACATATAATTTATATAAAGACATACAAAATGTTTACACTATAATTAGTAGAGAACGTGTGTACCTAACCACTTTTGCTTCGTATGCATCAATTTTATTAAATTTCATCCAATGATTCAGTTAACATAAATAATTTCTAAATGAACAAAAAGTGATAGAAAAGCTAATCACAAAAATTGATTGACTTCGGGCTTAACAATATTAATTTTAAAAAGAGACACTCTGAGCTGTAATTAAAACTCCAGGGAAAAGCTTTCGCAGTAATTCACTGAGAAAAATTATGGAAGAAAAAATGGCTTATCCTGCCTCTTTCGGAGCCACAATCTGTCTCAAAATTTTATAGATCATTAGAGCTCTCAAAGAAAGAAAGATTTATATTGATTAAGTAAGGAGGTGGGAGACATGAAAGTCTATGGGACTTTTCTAAAGACATTAAATATTCCATTACAGAGTAGCAACATCAACCTTCATCAAGGGTTACTCAGAGTCCAAGTCATGGGTATAATTTCATAATGCCCAGTTAAAATCAAAATAGAATAATTTTTAAACTGCTTTTATATTATATGCCTTTTCCACACTACTAATTGCCTATTATTATTATGGCGGCTGCTTTATGGCAAATTCATGATGATATATAAACCTGTGAAGGTAACAATAGCCTCAAAATCCTTACAATTCAAAACAGAGTATAACAGAAATTAAAAGGTGTTAAAAAGTTCATTTTTCATCAGCTAAATGTATACAGTTGGTATTTTACTACCATGAACTTACTGCCATGTGGCATGATGATGTCCCACATATTACAGCCAGTCGGGAAGTAATTGGCTGATTTTCACAGGGCAAGTTATATCCTTTCACGTTGGCTCCAATCATACCTGGTATAAAAATAAGAAGAAAACTGGCCTTTCAGGCAAAATGAAACTTTTACGTGATATTTGTTGAGAAACCTGCCAAATATTTTTTAAAAACCAGCCTGTATTTCAATTTTCGTGTCCTTGCAAAATATAGCGAAAAGTCTGCTAAACAGTAGGATGAAGCCATAAAATAAGAACAAGGAGAATTAAATAAGATTTATGGTTGGACATACCCAGTGGTAGTATTCAGCCGGTTCGCACCATTTTGGGCGAACCAGTAGCAAGGATTTGGCATGGGTCGCCAAACTGGTACTAAATTCTAGGTGGCCACGTCCCCGACCCGGTCGCCCGATCGCTGCTGGCTTGCTTGCCCCACCCACCTGATGCTCACCCACCCCGCCCACTTGACGCTCGCCCCTTAAGGTATTTCTTTTTTTTCCCCTCCCAACAATCAGCTGTTCATACGATCAGCTATGCTGGGATTCCCCTAGCTTGTCTTACTGCTTCGCCCGGGAGGATTCCCTGAGGCCCAGGAAAGCAAAAAATCAAGAGAGGGGCACAGCTCCCCCCCCTCCATTTTTTGCCTTCCTGAACCCCAGGGGAGCCTTCTGGGAGTAAAAACGCCCCCCCCCCAGGAGGCTCCTGAGGCCCAGAAGGCCCCAAAATGGAGCAAGGGGAGGAGTTGCGCGCTCCCTCCAGGCTCCCTTTTTTTTCTTCCTGAGCCCCAGGGGAGCTTCCTGGTATTAAAAACATGCCATACAGGAGGCTTGCCTAAGGCCCCCAAAAACAGATGGGGGGGTGGCTGCAAAAAAGCAAAAAAAGGGGCAAAAAGCCACGCCCACCCTGTTACCTGGCCACACCCACCAAGCCACACCCACAGAAGCGGTAGTACAAAGTTTTGAATCCCACCACTAGACATACCCTAGGTCTATAGGAGATACAAGTTTCAAATCTGGTAGTAGAAAGTGTGTATATTAGTTATATCTGCAGAATTTCAAAATAAAAAATGATGAGGCAATATACCCTTGTTTCCCCCCAAAATAAGACAGGCTCTTATATTAATTTTTGCTCCAAAAGACGCATTGGGGCTTATTTTCCAGTTAGGTCCTATTTTCAGAAATATAGTAGTCATACTGACTTCTTGTTTGCCACTTTGCTCCCTTCTAAGTTGCATATGCATATCAAGCTAAATCATTGGGTGTTTTTGAATTCAGAAAATCAGAAAGTAGAAGAAGAGATCGTATTCTTCTTTCATGGAACCTGGACTTTTCCAGTAAAATTACTGAGAGTCCAAAGGAAAATAACTGTTTATATAATGTATAACTGTGTTATAAAATATGCTCTAGTAAAGATGTAGAGAGGTCTGCTGGCTTATAGTATAATTAATAAGACTGCAAGGTAAGAACCAGTTGTTCCTGTGCTAAAAACAACTGTTATTTCAATGTACATCAGGTGCCTTCCAAAGGCATCAAAAGAACAGCCAAGAAAAGAAAAAGCCTGACACTTAAACCCCGGAGCATAGACATTCATATTGAACGTGATTTGGGTGTCCTGAAGTGGGCAGATTTCTATGTGAATATGCCTTTACTCTTGTCTGCAATGAACAGATTAATTCTGCTGAGTCAAGTCTATGAACATTCTGCCAAGTACAGTGATTCCTGAATAAAGGATTAAATGTCTAGAAAGCTCAGATTTACAGCTGTGCTTGTATGAAACCTAACAGATAGCTTTAAAAGGATATTTTGTGTTATCAATCACATTTATAACATTTATAATCTCAAAAGCCCTCCATTTCAGTTGCTTCCAGAATACTTTAAAAAAAATTACAGACAATTCTTGGAAGATACTCTATCAGCCATCATGTTTTAATGGTATTTCTAGGATCAGAGTGCCAGGTGCAATCCAACTGTTTGCTTCATGCCCTATTAAATGAGTTGGTCTTCCTAGCTCAGTGGTGTCAAACTCGCGTTGTCACATCGACATTACGTGGCATATCGTGACTTTTTTCTGTTCACTAAACCAGGTGTGGGTGTGGCCAGCATGTGATGCATTCAGCCCGCAGGCCATGAGTTTCACACCCCTTTCCTAGACTGAGTTAAGGAAAATGCTGAATTAGAGACTTCATTCCAGGCTGAAGAAACCCTTCATTTGTTCTTACTGATTCTGAATTTCAGTTTAAAACATGACTACTTCATTTAATTGTAAATAATATCTAAACATTCACTAAAGCTTTGATGCTAATTCTTAGATTGTTTACTTCTTTAGTTTTTATGTGAACTGACTGTGAAAACTGCTGGCAGAAACAAGACGAAACTTCTAAACACAGTCTCCACTTCTGAAGGCAGTACTATCAACAAAATATGGTTATGATCTTTTTGAATAATCAGACTATAGTAATTAAAGATTCAACTTGTAATTCTATGAAATTTCTTTGGATAAATTCTAAATAAATAAATCTGGGGGTTGTTCTCAGTAGACATACTTAAGGTTTCTCCATATGTCCTACCAAAAGAGGTGAAGAGTACATAAACAGCAACTAAACCATGACGCTGGGTTCTACTGTTTTTTTTTCAACTAAGTTGTATCTGGATTCAGTCTTAAAACTTCAAGCAACAGTATAGATTCTAAGAAACTCTAAATATAGCTCTACTTTATTTTCAACATTTAATTTAAACCAGAATGCAAATGACTGTGGAACTATATTAAAATGAGTGTTGATCTTTTATCATTATTATTTTTTTCAGTAACTAAGATTTAATCAAATCTCAATGCTGAATGTTGAAAAGGAAAATGTCAATAAGATGCTTTTGTCAATAAGCATGGCATCTTTCACTTCTAAAATAAACACATGCATCTACATTAATCTCTTTCTTTTTAATATCAAAACATTTTTAAAATGAAATCCTGTTGGATTTTAAGTGAAGTGTATATTAAAATATTGATTGGGTCTTTACAGAGAGATTATCTTTTGAGGTGACAGTGGGCAATTATTTTCATCTCTTGATATTCAAACTTAAGTTCAACTATGACATTTTAAATCAAGCTGCATCATTATTTACTGTATGCTGATTTCTGTTACAGTTTATCAACTAATTTGTGTTTATATAAACTTCACCCACATTTGTTTGTACAAAAGTAAATCTATCCTTTACTGAGACCACATATATTAAGAATGAAGCTTTTTATTGATCCTTTTATTGATTCTTCAAATGATATTCATTTATATATGTCTTCAAGAAGACATTCTTTATCTTCTGTTTAAGAAGTTATTCACATTCTGCAGATTTGGAATTTCTATTTGAGGAATTTTCCATAATTTTGTATACTTGCATTGCATAATGTACAGCGATTTTTAGTTGTAAACCTTTTGACAGGCATTCTTAACAATAATGGAAAGAGAAGTCAGCTGTATTCCTAATCACTAGGAAATGAAGCACTAGCACATATTCAACTGAGATAAAACTTAATTCTGTAAAACAGAATTCCTGAATATCAAAATGCAAGCACTCTTATATGCAGAAATTCAAGCTGAAAAGAGTCTAATTGTACAAAGAGCCTGTTATAAAATGTGTATTTCTTTAAAAAGGAAAACTAATCAGAGAAACAGGTCCTCAAATCAATTCTGTACCAATATTGCACACAATTGGGTACTGTCTGTGTAGCAAAAATAGTAGGCAGTTGTATACAGAAATGACTTACTGAATCTATAAAGCAGCCACCATTTCTTTTCAATCAAAGCATTAGTGGAAAATAAGATAAGGAAAACAACTTGCATACATCAGCCCAATGATTGTCCAAGGTTTCTAGCACATTAAATCAATCACTAAAGAATGAAATCTCCCTATCCTCTTTCTTGCTTTGTAATTAACCTCCACAGTAGTGTACAAAACAAATGGATAGGAAGTAAAGAAGAAAGTTTTTAAAAACTATCTATCTACTGATTTCTGGTTTGTCGGCTTCGGTGACAGCAGGGATTCGCGTTTCTCCGCGATCCCTGCTGTGCTAGCCGCCTTGGTGCCTCCGATCCTGACGGATTTGGAGGCTAAGGCTACCCTGTTGGGGCAGCTGAAGAAAGGGGGGATCCGGACAGGGATTGAGAGGTATCGCAAACCCCCTCCCCAGCCGGCAATAACCCCCTTCTCTCAAGAAGGTGGAGCGGCGGTCTTAATGGCCGCCATGAAGAAGCCGGCAACTGGATAAAGAATGTGCAGGAGGAAGAAGAAGGAGTTTTAAAACGAAAGTTTTTTCTTGGTCGAACTGGGACCTTAAGGACATATTCAACACCTGGGAAAGTATTGGCTTTTTTCTGGACGCTACAATGTTCCCGATTGATGTTTTCAGTGGCGAAGAAAAGTGATGAAAAGGGAAAGTTACTCTCCCTCCCTTATGGAATTAACAAATGGACAAGGAAAACCTGCTTTTTAATAGAAGGTAAAACCTAAACTCCTTTGTTATAAGTGGGAAGGGAGAGGCTTGGAAAAAAAAAAATATTCTAAGACTTTGCTGGAGGAGATGCCTTGAAGATAAAGAGAATAGAAATTAATTGTAAAAAAGATTTAAAGCACAGACTGGACGTTTTTTCTTTCCCTAATTTGACTTCAGCCCTGGAAGAAAAAAAGAAGAAGTTTGTACTCTGCCTGGACTGTTTGATGACTTCGGGATTTTGGGACTTTTGGGAACTGTTTTAAGTTTGGAAATAACTGATTGGCTTAATAATAATAAGAGGATACAGAAAAAGAAGAAGAAACAGTTTAAAATGGCTCTATCTCTTGATGAACTAAAAAAACAATATTTAAAAATAAGGAAAGAAGGCAAAGATGTTATGGGAGAAGCCCTTTGTTTCCTAGATATGGCGCTTGTCATGTGTCAGCAAATTAAACAACAGCTGGAAGAAGCCGAGGAAGAAGAAGCCACTTTTAATGAACTAAATGGTGTGACTAAGAAAGAAAGGAGAAAGAGAGGAGCGAAAAGGAAGCACTTAAGAAATAAAAAAATATTTATGAAAGAGAAAAATAAGATGCAAAAACAACAGAATGCTAGAAAGCAAAAGGAAAGAGGAATGCAACAGAAAGGGGAAACCAAGAAGGCAGAGGTTTGGAGAGGAGGGGGTAAAAAGTTTAGGCGGGCTAAGAAGGAAAGGGAAAAGGGGGGGAAAAGTTACAAAGGTATAAAACAAGATGGAGAAAAGAAATTTTTTTTTAGGGATAATGGGTAATGTATGGGTTTTTTTTTTTTAAAAAAAGGGGGGGATTCTGCAAAGTACACATGAGTATTGTAATAGTGGTATTTGTATTATAAGTAGATAATCAGAACTTTTTAAGATCTAATAAAAGACTAAAATATTAAGGTATAACTTTAAAATGTTTAATAATGAATGATTTTAAGTTTTAATAAAATACTAAAGAGAATGTTTAAAATGTTAGTTTAAATATAGAGTTTAATGGATTAATGTGTTGACTGTTATGGATTTATTATTGTAGTATTGGTTTTTGAAATAGTAGAATGTACTAAGCAGAATCTGATTGGGATTTAGGTGTTATTTTAAATTTTAATTTAGGGGAATGATAGAAAGGCATCATACTCTGATTAGTGATTCCAGGGGAAACTATTCTTTTTTATATTGGAAATGAGACAGATGTAAATGGAGAAATGGACAAAAAATATAAAAATATTTTTCTTTAAAGCAAGATTAAATATATAAAACAGAATTAAGATGAGGCAAAAGTGGAGAGGAGTTATATAATAGATATAGAATGGTAAACAAGATAGGTAATGGTATATAAGAAGAGCATGAATTCAATTGAAGTCCATACAAAAACAGGTAATTTGGGGCCAAGTTACTTTCTAAAAGAAAGTTTTATGTTTTTATGTTTATGTCTTGTGTGTGTGTGTTCAATTAAGAATTAAATAATAAAATCTCGGAGGAAGACTAGATGAGAACAATTATAAACAAGCCAGAGGAAAATATAAATGTGATTGAATAGCAGATAAATTAGAAAGGAAATATGACTGAATAATGATTAAAGAGAAACAATGTGGAATTTGGTAAAGGGAATTTACGTGTTTATATGGAAATGGGATAAATTATAAGTATGTGATATAAAGCAATGTGTTACCTGCCTTGTAAAGATTTACAATGGAAAGAGGTTTTATGTTTTTTATGTTTAATGATGTTTTGTTTGTTTGTTTGTAAAATCAATAAAACTTGTTTTTTTTTTAAAAAAAACCTATCTATCTACTGGTAAGTGGATAAAGAAACTGAGAGGGGGCTATAGATCCTCAGAGAATTCTCCCAAATTTTCCTTTCAGTTTTGCATTGTTTCTAAACATGACAAAACAGTATTTTAAAGAATTTCTAATTTATGCCTGGAAATTGAACAATTGATCCGCACCAAATTGACTAAAGAAAGAAGGAACTGTGTTTATTTTCCAGAAGTCTAGAATTCATTTGAATTTATTAATTTATTCTCCCTGTTTTCAAAACTTCTTTCCTGAGAGGTAGGTGCGCTAAACCTGATACTGGTTATCCTGAAAAGTAGAATTAACTATTTTTCGAAGAAAGATATATTATATATCTGATATATTATATATCAGCTGAATTACCTGCTACTTATTCTCTGTCCAATTAACTTGACCCAATGAATTATTATTATTTTCAAACCAGATAAAAATTTTCATTTGACCATCAAGATATTTCTTGGAACAATATGGGATGGAATAAATTATTAAACATTAAATGACCGGGGCTAAGAAACTGTACTTTAGACATGAAGATCTATAATATATAGAAACAGACATCTGCTAGTACATCAGAATTTTAAATGTAGACCAAATCTGCTTCATATGCCAGATCAGATCTGGAGTCATGTGAAGCAACAGAAGGAGAGAAGAAAAAAAAAAAGATCATGCTGTATCTGTACTGGAGGCAAGCTGAAGAATGTACTGAAATTAAACTTTATAAGGCAAAAGACGCAGTGGTTCAATCTATTTTTATCCCCATTATTTCAGCAACACATGTACGCTCTAACAAGGAAAACATTTGCACTGCAGAAAGTGTTCACTTTCAATATATTGTAATCAAACAGAAGATACAAATTTGAACGCCCTTATTGAGCAATATCACGGGATGTCTATGCCCTTGTTGGAGTCTGATTCTGAGGGGGAGATTGAGGAGCTGACAATGAGTGGCTATGGAAGAAATGGGGGAAAGGCACAGTCCGGCTGGGCATTCAGAGGAAGACCCAGGGCCACCCCCTCTTCATCCTAGGGCATGCAGGGAGGAACGGAAAAGGAAACAACGTGGCTTATGAGAGAGAAAAAGGCCTTGATCCCTTTCATTAACTGCAGCTGGGAGAACAGGATATAAGAAGGGTGTTTGCACACAGCACCTTGCTGGAAGCAAACTGCATTATCTTTTGTCGAGGCTTATCTGCGTTTTGCCATTCTCCCAACTGTGTGTGCTTCATTATCTTTTGGAAGTCTGCAATTTATTAACCTGGCCTGTCGCGTTAATTACATCAGCGTGGTTTGTGTTGGTTTTTTTTATTTATACTTTATCTGTACTTTGGGTTTGGCCTGCATTTCTTCCCTTTGTAGACTGTTTTTGGAAGAGTTTGATCTCCAGCCAAGGATAACTGGACATTGGGAGCCAAATTGGAGGCATTAAAGGGACTTTACCTATTTTTATGACTTTGTTGCTTTTGTGCAACCCCTCGGGTCACCACACAGGAACAGACAACTATAGCAATGGGACTGCTCTGAACAACTATCATGTACTCAGGATATTCTCTTTTTTTTTTGTCAATCTGTTAACTATATTATTTAGTGCTCATTAATACTTTACATTTTATGTCTTCTGCAGATTTTTTGTAGACCTCTCAGAACAGAAGGTGCCATAAATTAGAGATTCAAGGTATTATTAAGGTATTATTAAGGTATTGTTGTTTTTGTGTAGTATATTGTTTTATTTGGTGTTACTGGACATAGGCTGTCTATAGTCTTTCACGATATCATAAACAAATTGATTAAATGAAATCAACAAATATTTTCTTAATGGTTTTTTTTCCAATGCCTTCCCTGCCACCAGTCTTATTTAATAGGTTATTTAATTATCTATTTACCCACTTATCTCTAACCTGCAGGACCCAATCTGGGTTGGTCACTGGGACCACAGGTTTTGTCTTCCGAGTTTTCAGACTCATGCCGGAGCCCAACTTCAGAAAATTTCTCTTCGGTTAGAAGACAAAATTTCCGACCCAGATCAGATCCTGCAACATTATAATGGGACATGCATATTTGCTTTCATTCGTGAGAATATCTATAATATCTACACAAATGGACCTGAGGTGGTTTACAATCAAAAATAACAACAACCCATAAAATATGACTGTCTCATCTCCCTAAGCTAAAATAGTCCTAGAATCTTCAACATTCATACACTTTGTAGAATAGACATGTTTTCTAGATTTTACTGTAGGCCAAGAGGTTAATGGCATTCCTTATCTCAAAAGCTAAGATATTCTAAAAGGCTGAGGGGACCACTCAGAAGGACCACTGGTTGATTGCCCATCTCCCTCATTTTCTATGGGACCTTTAGCATGCCATCCTTCAGAGACCACACAGGACCAGCCAAATTTTGGCAGAAGAGAGAGTTCAGCAGGTGCTAAAGATAGTTAACCCTCTGAATTGGAAGCAACCTGTAATCAGTGCAATGGACCACAGCATAGGTATAATGCTGCTAGCAAATGGCGCCATATGTTAATCAGTTGGAGATTCTGAGATTTCTTCAGAGGTAACTCCATATAGAATTGGCTGCAACAGCCTATGCACAAAATTACTGTATCTGTTTAGTCCAGGAGAGTCAAACACACGGCCCATGGGCCAGATGCATCATGTGCTGGCCACACCTATCCTGATACATTACAGGATGATGTGACGACGCAAGTTTGACATCCCTGGTTTAGTCGATCTAACTTAAAATGCAGAACGATCCTATTCTATGATGCAACAGCCTGACAAAACCAACAATCATATCACAGAGTACCTAATCCTCCAGCATGTGCATCAATAAGTGAGGCAGCTACAGCAATCCCCTTAGACAGACCAAGATCTTCTGCAGCTTCCGCTGTTAATCCATTTCCAACTGGAGTTCCTGGAGGGAGAACTTCATTTCCTAAGCAGAAACAAGGGTGGGGGGGAGCAAAGGCTTACAATGCTGAGACAAATCATAGTTCACTATGTCCCTATCCTGAGACAACTTATTTTTTATTTAGCAGATGTAATACTGCAGTTTATTCTCAAACATATATACATAAGATATTAATCATGGCAAAGGAACTGGGCCAAAGGAACAAAAAGTCTAGCTGGGTGTTTCTTGAAGTGCGGCCTGAGGATTCCTGGGAAGTCCCTCAAAATCCACTCAGAGGTCCAAAATTAACATTATTTGCCAGTTTATGTTGAAAAATAATGTAGTGCATAGAGTATTCTAATGTACATAATATTAAAATCCGAGCAAACAATTGTGAGAAGCAATAGTGGCAGCAAAAGCATCAAATTTAAATTTAATACAAGAAATATTGATAAATGTAACCCATGTAAATAAACACTACCTAGACATTTTCCCTGATTTTTAAAAGTGGAAAAGGGTCCTGAAAGAAAAAAGTGTAAGAAACACTGGTTAAAATTTTAAAAAGTTAGTTTTGTAATTTTTTTTTTATAAGTGGGATCACCCATTGGCAGATCATATTCAAGATCTCTCAAATATTAATACATGATGGCGGAAAGTTCCTGCTTTTGTTTTTATTTTTGCTTTTACTTTTTCAGATCATAAACATGCAAGTTAATGGACAGTACAGTATATTCCCCTATCCTGAAGGGATTCTGAACCTCTGGCATTTTAGAAAAAGATGAGATTGACTTTTATGATCATACTGTCTTGAAAGATCTGAGAGAGCAAGCAAAAATAATATACACATCCAAATAATTTTGCTAAATATATGGAGGCTTTTCTACCCACATGCTACATGGAGTCAGCAAACAAGGAGTGGGAATCATATTCTCCTCAGTGAATGCCTCATTTCCAGAGAAGATGAAAACAGCCCAACCAATGCTAACATCCCCAAAAGTTTGAGATTACACTGGGTTTACTAGAAAAAAATATACCTTAAGATCTGTACAATAGGCAGAATAAGTCTGTCTTCAGGACAAAGAAGAACAAATGCGCTATAAATGCACTAAAAGCAGACTTCTAATTTGGCCATTATACTCCTAAAACTAAAATCTTATGGTATCTCTGGACACCTGCATAAGAGGATAGAAGCATTCCTGTCAAACAGACAACAAATGGTCAAAATTGGGAACGTCCTATCAAATTCTGTACCTGTCAACAGTGGTGACCCCCAAAGCAGTGTTCTAGGACCAACTCTCTTCATACTCTACATAAATGACCTATGTGATCATATCAAGAGCAACTGCGTTCTCTTCGCTGACGATGTAAAGCTATTCAACACTACAGACAATACTGCTACCCTTCAAAAAGACCTTGACTATGTATCAGAATGGTCAAACAAATGGCAACTTCAAATCTCAACAAATAAATGCTCTGTCTTACATATTGGCAAAAAAATCAGAAAATAAAATACAGGCTGAATAGTCAAGACCTTGTTGATGATCCAAACTCTACCAAGGATCTTGGAGTACTCATCTCTAATGATTTAAGTGCTAGAGCCCATTGTAACTACATAGCCAAAAAGGCATTAAGAGTTGTTAACCTAATCTTACCTAGCTTTTTCTCTGGTAATATTACACTACTAACTAGAGCATACAAAACATTTGCAAGACCAATACTCGAATACAACTGATCAGTCTGGAACCCATATTACGTATCTGATATTAACACAGTTGAGAACGTTCAGAAATATTTCACAAGAAGAGTTCTTCACTCCTCTACTCGTTGCAGAATACCTTATGCCACCAGACTTGAAATTCTAGACCTAGAAAACCTAGAACTACACCGCCTTCAGTCCGATCTAAGTATAGTATATAAAATCATACATTGCAATGTCCTACCTGTCAATGAATACTTCAACTTCAACCATAACAGTACAAGAGCAAATAATAGAAACAAACTCAAGGTTAATCGCACCAAACTTGCTTGCAAGAAATACGACTTCAGCAACAGAGTGATCAATGTCTGGAATACTCTAACTGACTCTGTGGTTTCTTCCCCAAACCCCAAAAATTTTAACCTTAGACTTTCTACTATTGACCTCACCCCTTTCCTAAGAGGTCTGTAGGGAGCATGCATAAGCGCACCAACGTGCCTACCATCCCTGTCCTATTGTTTCTTTTATTTTTCTTATATGTATCCATGTATTCATAACTATGTTTTAATTATACCTATTATCTTGTAAGCAATTGACAAACCAAATAAAATAAAATAAATAAATTTTAATATTTTAGGAGTGATTCTCCAACACAGATACCTAAAAGTAATCTTAACTTGGATATATATTAAATTGAGGGTTCTCATTCAGTTGTTTGAGACAGAGACCTTCTTTCAGTGAAACCTTCACTTATGCCATCTCTTTTTCATGGCTGACATCTCATTTTTTGAAAAGGCTCCTTTCACCCTGTGAAGTGAAAAGCAAGTTTACCAAAGGAAAAAGCTGTCTGAACTGTTTCCTTTTCCTTTATTCTTGCCTAAACTCTGCCTGAGGAATTTGCTTGGCTTGTGTTTTGCTTAAAGAAAACGTAGGTGCTATAATGCCAATCACCTCCCACCTTTCCAGGAAGTTGCCAAGGTAACCAATTATTTACCAGGCAAATCTCTGGTTAACCTGACCAAGTAAATCATAGGATCCAAAGTTATCTTAATATTTAATAACATGATACACTTCACTATACACTTGACTTTAAAAACAACAAAAGAAAAATCCAGCAAAGGGGTCCAGTTGATTCAACCATGAGGTGTCCACTTATTCAAGCAATGCTTTTAATTTGTTGTGCAGAACTAGAGCCATTTATGTGGAACTAAAATTTGCTCCATCCCAAAAGAATCTGAAAAGAATAGGTCACTTGTTAAGTTAAAGTGGCGCTTACAGAAACCCTACGGTGTGTTTGTCTTAGTGTAAACCCCACTGACTTTGAGTAGCTTTTCTCAGTGAAAATATATAGTAATATGTTATAGGACCACAATTAAAGTCTTACATTTGGTTTCAATTCATTATGGTTAGATCTAAGTTAAGCAGAAATGGGCAGTCAAGGACCTGTGCCATCTACAATACCTATTTTGCAGTTCTTTAAGTTATCTTTACCAAAATATGGTGGCAAAATAATAGAATTTTGGATATAGTGTTTCTAGCTTTAGAGGTCTTTTTTTCAGAATTAAGGGAAGGCCTCTGAGAAACAACTAATGTCACAAGCAACATTCTGCAAGTTTCAAAAAAGGATGAGAAATAATAGTATTTTTGGTCCTAGTTTTCGCCTTAAGTGTAGGGTCCACTTTTTTTAGATCAGCCAAGTGTTGATAAGAATTAACTGACTGGCTAGTTGCCTGAGTCTGACTTTGTGGGCTGAGAAAAAGTGATTGGCCCAAATCACCCTGCCAGCTTTCATGCCTAAGGCAAGATTAGAAATCAGAGTCTGTTGGTTTATATAGCCTAGTGTCTAGGCTAGCCTAGTCTAGTGTCACTAGACCAAATTGGCTCTTGAACAAGAAACAAAAAAGATTAGAGCATGGAGTAAAAAGAACAAAATACATTTAAATCTAGCTTACACCAATGCCATTCATTATGCTTCTCCATACCTGCCCAGGGGCATTCTCTCTATATGACTAAACTATTTCTTGCAAGTGAATAAAAAAAAAAATCACATTCGAAGAATGTATTTGCCTTGTTTTATCAAAACTTAGCTATATAATTTTACTTTTTTAAAAAACATGAAAATAAGGGGGAAATTGAGCAGGCAGCCTCTGAGAAATACTGAAATTTTTTAGATGATTTTCCTTTCTGAGCAAATGAGCAAATGATCAATTCTATACACTACAGAATGCTGTAAATCTCTTAAGCACTGCAAGGGAATGTGAATTCAAGCCACAGCTATGTGTAGTGATCCTATGCTTGTTACAATGAAGTAATCAAGGCAATGCAATTATCTGTCAGCTAGATAAATAAATCTATCGCTCCAGTTCATTTAACAAGGAAAGATAGGGAACCCATAAAACACCTGAACTGGAAGATGATTCAGTGAAGAATGACGTGTTTCCAGATAGACCTTGATTGTTGAAGGCACAAATATCCCTCTGTAGCACAAAGTCCTTTATAAGAAGTGTGAGTTGGTAAGCCAACTAATCCATGCTTATGACTGGATTATCGTAATGTGTTATTCAAGGGGCTGCTCCTAAAGATGTTCCAGAAGCTTGTTAATATAAATAAGGCAATAAGAATACTGATTCTATCCAGCCTATATGATTATATTACTCCAGAATTATGGCATCTATACCAACACGAAATCACTTCTGGTCTCATTTCAGAATCCTACTTCTATTAGTAAATTCACTTATGGTTTAACTCTACAGTATCTAAAGGAATAGCTCTTTCCATATATTTTTACTTTAAAGTTAAATCAATTCCTAAGGCTCTTATTGGTGCCATAATATAAAATATGAAAAGCTAACCAGAAAAATAAGGCTGGTAGCCTTGCAACTCTGAAAACCTTCCCAGAGAACACGTGTGATATTTATTTTGTTTGTTTGTTTTAGAATCAAGGACCTACTTATTGTCCGGGCTTTTTATTGTGTAAAAAATTAATATTTATGCTTTTCAATTTACTTTCTTTCTGTTGCTTCATTGCTCATATATTATGTATGTTCCCTGCTTATTTATTTGTAACAGTAAATACAAGATGTTCTCCCCATTACAAATAGTTAGAACAAAATAAAGAGAACATATTGTACATATGTTGCTTTCATATTAGCCATATTGTCACTCTTTTATCCATCCAGTTACCATGGGTAATTGTAATGCTGGTAATTATCAGATGACTATGTGTGGTTTTGTATTGCGCTCCAATATTCTTTCATGAAGACTTATTCTTTTATAAAGTCAAAACATTTTTGTTATTTTTTGCTGAACACACACAAATGTATTTCACCATCCTGACCACAACAGCCAT